TAGTAGTAGTAAGTAAAAATTCTTAACTATTGGGTACATTAGAGCATACGAAAAAAATCGAGCCATCTTCGACACACTTTGACAATTGAAGAATTATCCAGATACTGCCCTAGCACGACGTGCCTAATACACATTCCGAACTCACAATGTGAACTTATTTATTCTCCTGCAGTGCTACGACGAACTTTGAATGCGCGCTTCTTGAATTTAATTCTCTTATGTAATCGTTCCTCAGGTTCTGGCGATTCAGGAGGGGTTTCAGTAATGCGCTCATCATCGTTGTCCAGCCCAGCATCAACACCTCTCGAAGTTGACCATTCTTGCTGTTCCTGCTGTTGTCCCTGTGGCATATTAGCGACAACTGACGTGTTTTGCATATTTGTACCCCTGTGGACATCGGCCTCCACCCTCATACCGGTTTGCAAATCCGCCGCATTTCTGATCAAACTCCCGTCTAAATTGCGCCCGCTCAGTAATTGCGTCGTAGGTGCTAAACTTGAACTGGATTCAGTTTTGCTGGAATGATCACTGCCATGTGCACCACTGCCGACACTCGCGGAGTCCTCCATCGGACCCAGCAGTGCATACGGGTCACTGGAACCACTGCCCGCACCCTGCTGTCGAGACAGATGCGCAGCTATGCTTGGTGGCGCTTCAGTCTGTAACCGACCAGAATGCGCAGCTTGACCCATCGAATTATTTGTTGATAGTGGGAAAGCACGCTGAAAAGAGTGGTCGCTCGGCGTCACACCGCCAGAGACCTTTTGTAAAGACCCTCCAGAAAGACCAACAGACGGCATTCCTACATCATGTGACGTGCCACTAGCGAATATGAGTGATGATGGGGATGCTCCCAAGGCAACGGATATGTTTCCTCCGTGTGTTGGCGACAGGGATGCATCACTTTGATGTGAATACTGAAATTCCTGAGCATTTCCGTGTGCGGACGTTGATGTATGCGTCCCCACTCCGTCCATATGACCGGCTTTGCCCGCCTGTGCTGCAGTATTGGCTACACTGCCACCGCCCGGATCCACGCCGACGCCCGCACTTATCGTGCGTCCTCCACGTTCGTACCTGCCATCTATCGCCGCGCCTGCACCCACACGCTGGCCAGATGCAGATCCTGTGCGTTGAATTGGCATTGGCGTGGCAAAACTTCTGCCCTCTTGGGCATTACTGTTCTTAGTAGTCACGTCCTGGTTTCCTATTACTTTGCTGGTGTCACTTGTATTTATCTGTGCGCTTGCTTCTGTATGTGCTGTATAACTGCGAGCTGTATTGGCTCCATACATGCGTCTTTGGTCGACGTCAGTTTCCTTTCTCATTCCCTCCTCCTCCATATTCATGGTCGTGTATATCCTTCCCGTATCCCTCTTATCACAATCGGCACTCACCAGATTTCCTTGCACGTTCGGTGTCACCCCTGGGGCGATAGTGAACCCTGACCCGCCGACATCGAGCTCCTGGGACCGGGACGCAGACAGCCCTGGATACCCCGGATAATGAGCTGCGAGCGAGCTCTGACTATTCTTGTACGCACGCGTCATGTAATCATCCATTGTGTACGAGCTTGAGGGGGATAGATCATGGTCGGACAAGTCACCTCCTCCGACTATTTGTTCTGGTGTGCGTGCGCGCGCGCGCGTGCTTTCTGGCGCATCGGAAGGTATTTGCATAATACCGCTACTATTGCCCTGCCCTTCGTGACTGGCGTCCCTATTTTTCTTAGGAGCCGAAGTCCTGCTAAGCCGCAGGTCTCCGTATTGCCTCTGTAGCTTGGCTCTATCCCCGGACCTTTCCATGTTGAAATCTGCACATGCAGTACTAACCTGCCTGTGTGCATCCGCTTGTTTCTGCACCTGTGGATTATATTGGGACATGCCATGTCCAGCAGAAATGGGCTCACGTCCAGCGTGCATATCTCCCTCTCCTCCTTCGTTACCCTGGCTATGTTCTCTCCTCGACAATTCCTGCTGCTGTCTTCTTTTTTCGTTACGATCTCCTTTCATCTTTCGGAGTTCCTCGCGTTCACTATGTCTTCTCCCTTCTGCGCTGCGATAAATTTGTTGCGGGGGGCTATTTACACGACCCCTACTGCTGTCTGGTACTTCGGAAATATCTGCAATGAAATTTCGAATCATATCAAATGCAATTACGAATTACGTCAATCAGTATACAGGGACAAGATGGTAATCTAGGTCCCGCACAGTACATGACCAGTCAGCATGGGTGTATATGAGCGCGTATATGTTTCACCTTTATAGGCCAAGTAAATACCTCGAGTAATTACATAAAGGCACGGGTTCTGGAAAACTGTGTGTGTTTGTGCGTCGTCTCGGTTGTTTTCATTTATTCAAAAAACACGAGACAAGGTTGTACGCTAGTGTCATGATTGTATATAGTATGAGAGCAAATTCAAATCAAAGAATAAATGACACGTAAAAGCGGGCACTCATATGTTGAGTGTGGCAAGCAAACTCGCAAAGAGTATATAATAAGCCGGGTTGTAGACTATATATGTGAGTATGGAATATTTGAGGACGCCTTAATATACATACCATCGTTAGAAGAATTTGTATTCGACTGCAGAATATTAGACTCCGAAGATGTCGGGACACGGTCGCCGGTCGGGGATGCGTTAACTTCTGCTTCATCGTCATCCATTTGCAGTGTGGAAAGCACAAATTCTGTTTGCACATGATTGCCATCCTCATACACGAATGTGATTGGTCTGATGTATTCGAGAGTAACCAGTGGAGGATCAAGTCAGATATCGGCGAATAATAAGGGCTCAGATATAGCTGGACTTCCCTCTACGCAAAGGAAAACACAAGAATACCAACTCGAGCATTGTTTAGTATACCGAGAGGTCAACACAAGAATCGCTATATCCATTTATCATAATCTTGACAAACGATTTTTAGCACTAATACGGATAAACCCGAGGAGAGGAATTTGGCGGCACCAATCGCCACGTCATTATGTAACCCAGAGCTCTATATATAAAGCGTTGATAATGCCTTATGGGTCATGAATAGAAGAATGATCAGTTTAACTGTGTAATTTGCATAAAGAACCTTACTATATACAGTGACCAGGTTTCACCACCAGACAAGCGATTGTATTACATACCTTCCCGCCCCGTCGAAGTATATGGTTAGCAGTTGCCTGTATACACTGCAGTACTGTAGAATTGCCCTCACTTCCTTCAAGCAGAACGTCACAGTAGTCGGCCTTGCTACCTGGTACAACTCGAATTCGGACTTTGCTAGCGCAAATTCGGTCTGGAGCATGTTTGAACTAGTTTTCACACTATCTGTGGAGTCGAAAAAGCTCTTCACTCGTAACCGCTGTCGATTTACCACGAAGGACACCTCGGTGAGATTTGCAGGGAAGTTCCCAATACCTTCGCTCATGATATTAGCATCGACGGTGATCGTGCTGCTGGCAGTTGCCTTGTAGCTGCTGACCTTGAGTGGATATACATCCTCATAGTTGAATTTATACAGTCTGCATTGAATCACCGAGTCATTGATAGTTAGATCAGTGGATATTGTTACGGGCAGAAATTTTCAAAAGTGTCTTTTTATATAAGTAATACACATGTGTTCTGTTTCCGCAAGCTACACCAGTATCACGAGGAGGAGTTCGTGACAGCATACCGGGTCATTCCATATCGACATCCTAATTCAAAAATGAGTACCGGGTCCTCCAGTGAGAGTCGAATCGTGCATGTCTCGATTGTCTTGTCACCCAGCACCAAACTACGTACAATCGACGTCAATGTCTATGTTGAAGGATAAAATGATGTTTAATGCTTAATATGAACTAACCAAAGTCTATTTTGAAAGATAAAGTGGGGTTTAATGTGGGCTAACGGGTGGCTATGGTTCATCCTGGGCATAGGGACCAACGCCTCTCCCATCGTCTCCGTGGACGAAGGTGTCCTGGGGAATGTCAATTTCATTGTAGTATACTCTTAACGCAAAACTTTTGGATGTAGTTAGTCGAGGGTATACCCAAATTCTCATTCAAATTCAAGAACGCAGACGATCATGCTCCAAAGCTTTTACTAAGAGGCGTTTATAGTCACAAAATTTGCAAAAGCAAGATGCCTAAAATTTACGTGTATTATCGACACACATGCGAAATATTGCGATAAAGTGGCACTTAGCGCCACTTACTATCATGTACAGCATAGTACTGACTACCAAATTGCCACTAACCGTAATGTCAGCATCGTAAGATACCAATATATTCTACGCAACACATACCTTTGATAGAATTTTACACCGCAGGACACAATCTTCGACTTCCTCTTCCTCGATAGTAAAAATATCGAAGAAATCTGATTCGAAAGTGAACTTTGCAACAGCGTTCTGACTTGCACTGACGCAGTAAACAAGTATGCTCTTTGTGTAGAACTCGAAAGCAATCGTGTCTGCAATGCGTCCTAGGCACGCGAGAGCCTTCCCGAAATCTGCGAATTGGAGAGCGGTACGTGTTCCGCCCACATTGCGAGGACGTAAAACAAAAATATGTTAAGATGCAACAGATGAAAGCGTTCAGATACTCAACATACCCATCGCCAATATATACATGTACGCATATGTTCAGCAATTTGAGTCATTTAGCGCCCATGAGTGAGTACTGATTTCGAGTTTTTGAAATGTTAGCATGAAACTTAAATATTCAAAGTGTGTATAATAGTATGATTAAACACTGTTTTTCAGTCAGAAGCAATCCTACGTCTATATATCTTAACATGCGGAATCACAGGTGATGGTCCATGTTTAAAATATCGGACTATGTTAGTTTCACGTACAGTGATCGTGAACTACGCCACTACACGAGATGCTCGACTGGACCTTACTCAAAGAAACAGCTACAGGCAAGCTTCAACATAATTTGCAAGTATCAGGTGTACTACATCCAAGGTAACCGGAGTTTTGGACACATACATCTATGAAATTAGAAACTAGGATGACCCTGTATTACTACGCAGATGTGATACGTATCGTTGCTGTTTATGATCTCTTATCGTCCAGCATCTGCACCAATGATTTTTGTGGATATGGCGCAACCGCTATTGATAATATAATCAAATTGCATTCAACTTCCAATAACGCAAGACTGCGAGCAGACTTACATATATCAACCGTTGTTTGTATTTCGTTGTATCTCCATATAGAGAAGGTTGCATACCCAACATTCTAAATCACTAACTCAACACAGGTTTGCTTGTGACCTCTAAAATGAAAGCACAAGGTAGTAACAAATTCCATAACAGACCCATGCGAATAACACGAGTTTACACTGGAGTTCATGGAAATATAGAACTATCCCACTATTTCTCTAGTTACACGTACTGCTGCGTCGGAAGACACCCAGCCTAGATAAATTCGCAGATAGCACACCAGATGTTACACATAAATTCAATTTCGGACAGTAGCTTAGAATCACACGAGCATAACATAACAATGATGTGCATGTTGAGCGGACAAAAATACTGAAATAGGGCACGAGAGCATGAGTATAGTCACAATGCAATAGAAAAGGTTCAATCCTGTTTGACAGCTCTTTACATACCTTTCAGATTATCGTAGCCAATACAACACTTCATCTTGGTAGTATAGCTGCCATACGACGACTTTGCTTAATGCCCAGAGCCAAAGCCTCGCAATGCTGGTAGCTTGCGTATCACAGCCAAGGCGATCCGCTTTGGTTGTTCAGCGGATGTGGGAAAGCTATTTGAAGAGGTACAACTGCTCTACAAGCGTCACTTTAGATAATCTCGCGAAACAGCACAGCATTGCGTGCACAATATAGTTCAGAGATTATCAGTGCACTCATATCGGACGTCGCTCTATGTCGTGCAATATGAACAACAAGTGATACGAGTGTATGACCTGACGCTTATACCAGGAGCTTACGTGTGATATGCTGTGAATAGTCTGCGCGTATTTAAAAGGCCCACTACTACCCAGATACCAAACACGGACGTCTTGTATGTGAGTATACGCCTGTATTTCCCACACGAAAGTCAATAGTAGCCCTATATAATATATCATATCTAATCTAAAATATATATAATACTATGCTCTTAATTTGTGTATGAGTAGTCTATGTGAGCTTCGAATAGCCCGCCAAAACCAGGATCGAAGCGAAAGCCAATAGGAACCTTGTATATGTTGTTATAACCTGTAATCCAATACACGCGCTAAAACTTAAAATTACTACATACTGCTGCTGTGTGAAATATATATTTGCAATGAAAGTTGTCACATATCACCGCTGCGGAGCTGCCTTTCGTCATGCATTGGCGCTTTATCAGAGGCATACGAAAACAAATAGCACGCTTGGCGTTATACGCAGTCCATATTGTGGTAGAGCAACATAGTGCACGCGTGTTATACTAGGAGTGGAGGGGTACATCGACACACGAGTTCCTCATGGCTATATACGTGCAATGCATTGCCCTGACGGCATATACTTCTGTTATTGATTAAAGACATTACTTACCAATTCCTCTACGTAATATGAGAGGGTTCTGCACTAGGTCTGCTTCGTAGGATGTCTACATAAATTATTACACAATGACTACCTGCTGTTGTATATCAGATTGTTCTATTGAGTATCATATACCCTATTCACCTCTTCTACTACCTTCCAGACCATATGGCAACCAGGCACTCAAGCCTCAGCACGTGATTGTATCATCTTTTTCACAGATCAGATTTATCAGCCCTATGATTACTAATTGCTACTTCTTAGCTTTTATGGTAGCTGTATATCAAAGTCACTGCAGCTATCAGATTCGTACTTTCATCTTGCCACAACTGTAATACCGTCGCAACACACAATTTGGGCTAAAATCATGAGGAACATAAGCCACTTGTGTAAAGGTATGCTTTCAACAGTAAATTCTGAATATTTATTGAGTACAAATATTCAAAAGCATAGTATCGTAGAAGTTTTCCTTTAGCCAATTTTTAGGGTTT